GCTGCACTCCATGGCCTGCACCACATCGGTTGCCCTCCAGAGCTTGCACCACCAGCGCAGCTTGCACCGCACAACTTGCCCCACACAGCTTGCACCCCATAGGCTGCACCGCGTACATTCCCTCTTGCGGATTGCGCCCTTGATGCACGGCACCCCCTAGCCCGCGCTAAGTTGCTTGCACCACATGGATTGCGACCCATCTATTGCACTCACCCTACATGTTTCAAGCCACACCTTGCACCGCACAGCTTGTAGATGCCTCCCAGATGGGGTCCGAGTAGATGGAGTCGGAGGATCTCGCCGCATCGCCGATGCATCGGCCATGCACTGGCGACGCTGGCGATGCATCCGCGACGTCGGCGTGGAGAAAACTGGGCCCCACATCGAGCCGCATCGCCGTTGCATCGCCGATGCAGCGGCGATGCGGCGCGATCCTCCGACCCCATCTACCCCGACCTCGTTTAGGAGGCCTGGAGCTTGCACCCTACCATTTGCACCACTTTGTACCACATACAACGCACATCGAACGTGCAACCACCCACAGGTGGGGATCCACGCTGGCAAACGTTCATAAAGAAGAAGGATGAGGGATGATGGGAGGAGGAGGGATGAGGGAGGCGGAAGAAGGAGAGAGGGAGGAGGGAGGCAGTGCGGGAGGATGGAGGGAGGGGATGCTGATGATGCGAATGATGCCGATGAAGAGCCAGCGTGGCAAGGAGGAGGAGGAGCATGAATGATGATGATGAGGAGGAGGAGGGGGAGGAGGAGGAGGAGGAGGAAGAGGAGGAGGAGGAGGAGGAGGAGGAGCAGCAGCAGCAGGAGGAGACGAAGGGGACAGACGAGGAGGCCTCGCGGCCCAGGATGCGGACGAGGCGGGAGAAGGTCGCGGGAGCAGGGAAGCGCGAGGAGGACGGAGGTGGGAAGAGCAGGGAGGCGTGAGGAGGGAGGATTCGACATCGCACCAATGCCCCCGCTGCCCCCGCCGACTGGCGCGGACAGCGCCGTGGGCGCCCCAACCGATGGCACGCCGAGCTCCCGCGCGACGCGCGCGCGTGCGCGCGGGCTGCGGCTGCCGCGTCTGCCGGCCCAGGCCCAAAAGCCGCCACCAGCCGCGCCAATGCCGCGGCCGGTGTGGGGCGGAGGCTATCACTTCCGCTTCGACTTCCGCCTCCTTCCGCCAGCCTTCCACCAGCTTCCGCCGAAGAGGAGGTGCCAATTGCTCGACCACTCGAAGGCGAAGCCCAGCCTGGAGCGCCCCGTGCGGCTCCCGCCTTGGACCTCTGACGCGAGGTACCGCCCAGGCCCTACACTGTTTCGGATGAACCCCCGATGCTGCAACCATCGCGCAACCACTCATGAGGAACGCTGGACGAGGAGCGAAGCGCCTTTCGGGCCACGGCGAGCCTCGACCACGCATAGGGCTCCCGGCCTGGAGACAAAAGGAGCGACCCGACAGGCACAGCCTCTCCTGAGCGCACAGAGTGGTTCATATTCCGCACGAGGCACGCACTTTTCGCCTCCTCCTCGCCCTCCTCCTCCTCCTCCTCCTCCTCCTCCTCGCCCTCCTCCTCCTCCTCCTACTCCTCCTCCTCCTTTTCCTTTTCCTTTTCCGTTTCCGTTTCCGTTTCCTCCTCCTCCTCCTCCTCCTCCTCCTCCTCCTCCTCCTCCCCTTCAAAATGGTTTTTATTTCAGCTATGCCCCCCCCCCCCTTCCCCGCTCAAGGCATCTACGATCCCCATTTCGGACCGGCATCGTGGACCTGCTCGCTAGAGGTGGCCCCCCTGGTGGTGGTTGTGGTGGAGGTGGTGGTGTCGTTTCTCCCCAGACCTCCGACGTCGTGATTTTCTCAAAATAGGCTTGCCCTTTATGAGTCCTAGCTCAAGCCCTACTATTTGGTCCGTTCCCCCCCTCAAATTCCTATGCGCACCCCCCTAATTCCTATGGCTATGGCTATGCCTATGCCTTCCCCCATAACTCCTATGCCTACGCCTATGCCTATGCTTATGCCTAGTTATGCCTATGCCAAGCACCCCCTCTTCTTTCCAATGGCCGCCCCCTTTTGCCAATGGCACCCCCCCTTATTTCCAATGGCCCCCCCAAACTATTTCCAATGGCGAGTCCTATGGATTCGCATGGATTCCTATGAGTCGCTTGCCCTTGCTTGCTCTTGCGTGCTCTTGCTTGCTTGATCTTGCGTGCTTGCTATCGTTTGCTTGCTCCTGTTTGCCCTTGCTTGCGTGCAGTTGGTTGCTGGCTCTTGCTTGCTTGTCATTGCTCGCTTGCGCTTGCTTGCTTCCGCTTGCTTGCTTGCGCTTGCTTGATTTTGCTCCTCCCGTCCTCCGCCCGTCCTGCTCCCGTCCTCCATTCGTCCTCATCCCATCATCCTCTTGTCCTCCTCCTGTCCTCCTATCGATTTGGAGTCAGCGCTGGTCGATATTTGCACACCGACGACCAAAAGGGGTCTGGACCCCTTCCTTGGGACCGGCTTTTCATCCTGAGGCGTTTTTGGACGGTCCCGAAGCCCAGCGAAGGCTCCTAGAAGCCGAAAACAACAAAAAACCTCCCGCCGTGATTATAGATTCCTACTCTCAGATTCTATTACCCTGACCCCCCCTTAACCGGACCCCCCCCAGGGAAGCCCTGGGCGCCCTTTTGGACGGCCTCCCAGGGCGCCTTGCCAGGCCTTGCGAGCACCAAGGCGATTAGAGGGGTCATCGGAGAGGCGCAAGAGAGACGCAACACAGCACAAGAGCGCTCCAAGAGGAACCTCGATGGTTTGAAGACGGCCCAAGAGGCCCCCAAGACGCCCCAAGAGGCCGTTGAGACAGCCCCGTAAAGCAAACATCGCCCCATTCCCTTAGGAACATGTTTATGTTTAGCATCTCCGCTTTTTGGGTCTTCGCAGCGTTCAAGACGGCCCGATGGGCCCCCGACATCGCCCCAAGACGGCCCAAGAGGCCCCCCACAGGGTTTGAAGACGGCCAAAGAGGGCCCCAAGACTGCCCCAGAGAGCCCCGAAACTGCCCATGAGAAGCCCAAGATGTCCCCAGAAGGCTCCCAAGAGAGACCCACGAAAGCCATGGGAGACCCCCAAGAAGGCGATTGGAGGCACCCAAGAGGACCCTAGATGGCTTCAGAAGGCCTCTGGAGGGCCCCAGCTCTCCAAGGCGGCCCAAAAAGGCCCCAGGACGGCCCAAAAAGGCCCCAGGACGGCCCAAAAGAGCCCCCCAAACGCCCAGACGGCGTTCTCCTACGAAGTACATCGAGCTGACCCGACGATCTTGGTTCCACGCTTGAGGCTCGAGGTTTAGATTCCTCGGTCGAGAGAGACAGGCAATGGATCTAGATCCGAAGATCGACGATCGAAGAGTTCCTGAGTGCCTGGAGCCCTCCAGGCATTCTGGAAGCGACTGAAACCGATTGTTCGGAGCTACTGCGACTTCAAATGATGGACTCAACCACAGGAGGAGGCGGAAGAGGAGGAAAGGAGGAGGAAGGGATGTGTAGGCAGATAAAAATCCAGTCGAAACGTTTCTCCTTATCTCCTCCAGTGAGGAGCGGTGCTGAAGCAAGCGATGATGTATTGCTTTGCCAGGGAAGCGCTCGGAACAAGACTGCATTGGCGCGAAGCGCCAATGCAGTCTTGTGTGTATATATATATATATATATGTTCACAACGCGAGGGGGTCTGGGCCTTTCCTCCCAGAGCCAGCCCCTCGCGTGCCACAGAGGTGGCCCGAAAAGCGCCCGAGGGCATCCCAAAGCCCGCGGGGGACCAGGAGAGCCGGGGCGCTGGTGCCGTGGCCTCCCAGGGGCCGGAGGCGCTTGTGCTCGCGTGTCCAGAACACGTTTTTCCTTAGATTCTGGCAAACTTACTTGCATGGATGGGGTGGGGCTGAAAGTGAAGCACGCCGCAAACGACGTGCGCGTGCGGAAGTCACGTAAGCCGGAAGGCACCCGCACGCTAGTATTCGTTTGAAGAGGGGCGAGGGGGGGAACGTCAGGCAAGTAAACTTGCCTGAGTCTCTGTTTTGTATACATGTGTTCAACAAAAAAACCTCCCAGGAGGGGGTCTGCCCCAAACCTCCTCGCGTGGTGAAGAAAAAACGACGGAAGGGTTTTCGTTATTATCGGCCTCCAGCGGCCTTCATTGGGCCTCGGGCCCGTCCAAAAATGGCTCGGGAGGAAACACCGGTCCCCAGGAAGGGGTCCAGACCTCTGGGGCCGACGTTGGGAAAAAGGGACGACGTCGGAGGTCTGGGGTGTGCGTCGGGCCCCGGGTCGTCCTCCCGGCAATGCACTTTTTTCACGCCGGGCGTTTTCGCTCCATGTCGGGCCCCAGCACCCGCACAGGTCGATCAGGCTCGAAAAATCACGCAGAACCATGGGGTCCAGCGCTCCCTTCGAGTCCCGTCGAGATTTTCTCCGGTGTTGCATGTTTTCCAACGTCGGATCTCAGGGGTGGTATAGGTAGGGTAGGCCTCCCTGCCGCATCAAGCATACCGCGCGCCCATGCTCGTGTCTCCAAGTTCCTGCCGTAGGTTGTCTGCCTTCCAATCTCCAGAACTTGATGCTGCCGCAGGATGTCCAGGTAGATGGGCCTTCCCCCAGCCCCCTGCCACTCAGCCAGGCCCCCCTCTCTACCCCCTCCCCTCCCTGGGTCGCGGATAGGCGCGGCAGCGTAGACGGATAGAAAAAGAGTCTGTAAATTGCCGCGTGTCTGCCACTGTCGTAGAGTGTCAGGTGCGGATCGTCTTCGGAGGCGAGCAGATACGGAAGGGCGGAGGAGTAAGAGGAGGGTGTAAGAGGATCAACAAGAAGGACAAGCGAGCAGGATGCTTTCCAGAGTCGCCAATGCACGAATAATTGAGAAGGCTTCTAACACAGGACTTCCCGCCGTCAGTCGTGGAAGAGTGCGCGCGTGGGGTGCCGCACTCAGCTGGCGCGAGAAGAGGCGCGCAACGACGGCATTTGCCTCGCCGCGCGGCTGACTCTCACGCCTACGCCTTGTGGGCGACGATCAGCTTCGTCATGCCGTGGATCATTTCCATCGTCTCGCACTTGCTGGTGTCGAAGCCCGCCTGTTGAGCAGGGACCGACCGTGCCGGCAATCCTAGAGGCCAACCACGAAACGTGCGTCGAACCCAAAAATGTTCCAATAACGAAAACAGTGCCCTTGGAACATACACCAGCCAGTCCCAGCCAGAAAAATGTTCGAATGGCATTTCGTCGAACCCACAAGAGGTCCCTAAAACAGCGCTTGGCGGGCCCGTTGGCACGCCGGGACGCTTCGCCACTGCTGGAGCCTGGCCCATGCGGAGGATGATCTCCCTCGGGCAGAGCCCCAGGCCCTTGGCGTTCACGGTGACGTGCTGCAGGCCCCACAGCGCGCCGAGGGCGGGGCCGTCGAGGCTGTCGTTCACCATGAAGTCGTGGACCTCTGTGGCAGCTCCTGGGAATCGACGCTCGTCGACGCGAAATCGACGCTGGTCGACGCGAGTCGACGCTACATCGACACTCGCCGACGCTACATCTACGCCCGTCGACGCCCAGTCGACGGCAGTCGACGCTAGCCGACGCCAGGTCGGCACTATCCCATCGACTCCCAAACGCTAATCGACGCTAGTCGACGCGAAAGACGGAATCAAGGAGGGTATACAGAGGCTTCCCTGATGGGGTCGGAGTAGATGGAGTCGGAGGATCGCGCCGCATCGCCGATGCATCGGCGATGCATCGACCATCGACGATGCATCGGAGATGCATCGGTGATGCAGCGGCGATGCATCGTCGGCGTCGGCGATGCATCGGCGACATCGACGTGGAGAAAATCGGGCTCCGCATCGAGCCGCATCGGCGATGCATCGGCGATGCGGCGCGATCCTCCGACCGCATCTTCTCCGACCCCATCTGGGAGACCTAGAGTATAGTCACCAAGTCCCCACGATTTGCGACGGAACGTGGACCAGGAGGCGCCCTCCGGGCCGCAGCGCCTTCATCGCGTTACTGTACAGCCCGCCGATGACTGGCTCTGGGACCGAGCCTGGAGAAACCCCACGGTGCCGATGCCTCTGCCGCTCCCAGGACCTCCGCCGGGGTGCACTCTGACCAGGATTTCGAAGGGAATCCGGCCGCGGCGACGAGGGCCTCCCAGGGCGCCGCAAAAAAAGAGGAACACGGGGCTGGGGCAACGGTATCGGTATCCTCTCCCCCTGCGGGAGCCGGAGATGTAGGACATGAGGACCACGTCGAAGGCGGCGTCGCTGACGGGCCAGGTGGGGCTGGTGGCGTCGAGCTCCGTGAAGCTGACGCGGGCCCTGACGTCCTCCGGCTGCTGGGCACGGATGCCCTCGCCTGTGCGGCAGACCTCGCGGCCACACGCAGGTGACCCCGGGCAGGGGTGACTCGTGGTGCGCGGCGTTGGGGGGCCGCGGGCGCGCAAGCCGGTGCGGGGAGCACCCTTGTGGGCCCGCACCAGAGGTCCCTCTGGCGAAGGGTCACTCTTGGAGGCAGTTCCCCGATAGGTTCTGGCAGGCTTACTTGCATGGAGGGGGGCGAGGGGGCGTGGTGAGACCCGAAGGAAAGCTGGCCTTCGCGCAAGTCGGGACCTACTTGCACGTCGTTCTGGCCCTTCGCTCTTGGAAAAGGCAGCGGAGGGGGGAAAGGCCATGCAAGCAATGAACCACTGCCTGGGTCCAAGGGAGAACAACCTCCCCAGACCCCCGACGTCATGTTTTTTCCATTACGCCGACCTCTGGAGGTCTCGACCCATTCCCTTGGACCGATTTTTCATCCTGAATCGTTTTTTGACGGTCCCGAGGCCCGGCGAGGGCCCCCGGAGGCCGAAAATTGCCAAAAACCTCCCGTCATAATTTCTGTCACTGCCCGAGGGGGTATGGTTCTCACGCGCAGCCGAACCTCGGGCAGCTCGAGGACCGTGGACTTGAGCCCGGGCGTGGCGCCCACGAAGACGTAGGAGAACGCGCCGGACCCGCCGCCGACGTCGAGCATGTCGGTGATGCCCCCGAGCTGGAGCTTCTTCTTCACGAGGTACTTCGCGGTGGCGACGGAGCCGTTGTGCTGGGCCTGGGTGTAGGTCCTGGCCACCTCTCGAGCAGAGGGGCCTCGACTGCCAAATCAAGTTGGCGCAACCTCGATTTTGTCGGTCGGATCTGTGAGAAACATACACAGGAGGCGCCGTCGGATTTTACGTATTCTACTTATTTTTCGTCGGGAATAAATCTACGTATTTTTCGTATTCTTCATCTGTGAGAAGAATTATACGTATTTTTCGTCGGAAAAAAAATCTGGGTACATGAATTCTGTAGTGGGCCCCCTGCGCGAACCTCCGGGTCCGAGAACCAGGACGCGTAGCTGGGCGCCTCCCCCGAGACCATGACGTTCGGCAGCTCCCCCATGGTCCTGTAGAACTGCCGGCCGATCTGGTACCTTGGCACGCCCCACATGGGCAACGATCAAAAACCGGTCTTTCGCGAGATTGCGTAGCGGCCTTACGCGGTGGCTTGCGCGGGCCGCCCGCGCGGCACGCTGCATTGGAGGCGAGGGCGCTTACGCACGACCTCACGCGGGCAACTTGCGCGCCGATGTCAGCGCAGGCGACCCCTTTTGTGCGTCGTTCAAATGGGCACAAAGCACATCAATGTTAGGTCGGGCATGTCCCCCTACAGGCGGATTTTGGACGACAGATAGAAAATTGTCGAAACAATGCTCGAATCTAGTCACAAATAAAAGAAACATCGTCCCCAGACTAGTGTAACTATTTTTGGAGATTTCTCCTGTAGAGGGACATGCCCGACTTAAGCCTAATGAGACAACGACCGCTGTGGAGCAGGCGACTCTGCCTGCTGTGGGCACCGTCCGAGGCAACACCAGCAGCCACTCCTGTTCAAAACGGGCAGGAAGTGCCGTCGATCCTCGATCCAATTCTTTCCGTACCCACTTCGATCGTGCCGAGCACCGCAGGTAGTCGCCGTAGAAATGCTTCGAGGTGGAGACCATGTACTGGGCCGTGTTCGGCGACAGCGTGTACGTGCCGCTGGGGCCGAGTCTGAGGCACTTCACGGACACGAGGCACGTCAGCAGCGTCTGCAGCCGCGGGGCCTTCACGCCGCAGGCCTCCTTGAGCGCCTCCAGGTCTGCACCCGCGTCGCCCGCGGCGGCGATGTGGTCGAAGATGCTCAGCTCGAGGCCGGTGAAGAGCGCCTGCTTCGGAGGCGGGCCCGTCGAGGCGTCCCCCCTCGGCTCTGGGCCTCGCCTTCTTTCCACACTGGGCGCTCTCGCCTGGCATCGGGCCCGGCGATCGCAGATCGATCTGGCTCGGAAAGGCAAGAGATGGGGCTCCCGCGTGCAGTGCTCGAGCTTCTCTCCAGCGTCCGATCTCAAAGACCGGCGGCCCTGCCGCGGCGGGTTGGCGTCCTTCCTGGGCCCCCGCGGAGGCTTCTCGTCGCCGCGGCCGGGTCCGCCTGAAGAGAAGCTGGCCGGGGCAGCCCCCGGAGGGGCACCGGGGACCGATCCTCCACCCCCGACGTCATGATCTGTCCATGACGTGGACTCCAGACAGCCACGGTGGCGGCGTTGGCTAAGGAGACCTTCGATAAAGCATCCAGGGTCTGGAAGCCAGTGGAAAGCCCATCGTGGATTGGCCATGGATATCACCGCCGCCCTCACCAGATAGGGCACCCTCCAGGGTCTGAACCCGCTGGGCACGTTCCTTACCGAATGCCCCCACCGTGCTGGCCGCCGAATGCCTCCGTGTCTCGCAGCCCTGGCTCTGAAGCCGGCCGCTGCGGCGAGCGGGGGACCTTGGCATGCCCCCCCGGTGATGCGCAGCGTGGCCTATCCGAGATCGACTTTCAACTTCGGGATGCCCCTCACCGTGGTGGCCAGAGTCGCTGGACCTGGCGGCCCGCTGCAGGGCCTCCGCTCTCTGACCTGAGCATGCCCTGCATGACGTGGGCCCCCACACGTCTGGACCCCTTCCGGGGGACCGGCTCTTCATCCCAGGCGGTCCTCTACAAGGTCCCGAGGCCTGGCGAGGGCCACAATGGGGCGGAGGATAGGAGAGGAGGGGGTAACGTTGAGTCGGGGCTGTCCTCCTACAGGGGGATTTTGGAAGAGAAACTAAAAATACTCAGAAAATGCCCCCCTGAATCGTCAAATATAAAAAAATAGCCCCCCGACTATTTTGAATATTCCCCCTGTAGAGGGGCACGTCCTACTTAAGGGTAACGAGGAGGGGGGGTGGTTGCGGATGCGGAGGACGAGCAGTGTGGGAGGAAGGACGAGGAAGAGAAGGCAAGGCAACAGAAACATAGCTCGGATTTGTCACGACGCGAGGGGGCCTGGATTCTTAGCGAGCCCGGGCTGGGCGGGCACACCGCCTGTGTTGTCTGCCTCGGCTGGCCCTCCTCTGAGAGCCGGCGCTGCAGCAAAAATTCAACATCGGCAAAGATCACCACCAGACCCTGAGACCCCAACGTTACACTTTTTTCGAGCCAGGCGTTTCCGTCAGGTTTCGGGCCCTGGGACCCTCACAGGTCGATCCAGTTCGAAAATTGGCGCAGAAAGATGGGGTCTAGGGCTCCAGTCGTGATTATCTATGATGCTGCAATTTTTCCCCGCCGCCGGATCTCTCAGGGGAGCCCTGCACCCCGTCTTTCTGCATCATTTTTTGAGCGAGGTCGATCCGTGATGGTCGCGGAGCCCGAAATCGGGCGGAGGCAAAACAGATATAACAGAGCGCCCAGATCGGAGGGTCCCCCGAGCCTGCGGGCCCCAGAGCCCGTAGGCCGTGAAGCCGTGGGCCGTGATCTCCAGAGCCGGCGTGACTCGTGACGCTGGAATGCTGCAAATGGTGTTTCGGCATGCCTCAGGATTGTCACGCGGTTCTCCCAGGAGGGGCACAGTCCCCTCAGCGAAGTGAATCCCTGCATAGGGCCCACTGTGACGTATGCAGAGGGAGCCTGGAGAGAGAGGGTGCAGCCCAACGCCGTCGATGAGTCTCGGGCTTGCGCTGGCCCTCTTCCTCCTCCTCCTCCTCCTCCTCCTCCTCCTCCGCCTCCTCCTCCGCCTCTGACCCAGACCCCCGACGTTATGATTTGTTCATAACGTCGACCCTTGGAGGTCTCGACCCATTCCCCTGGACCGGCTTTTCATCCTGGGTCGTTTGTTGACGGTCCCGAGGGCCGGTAAGGGCCCCCATGAGGCTGAAAATAACAACAACAAAAAACGTCATGATTTTTTCATTGCCCGAGGGGGTCTGGGGAGCCTGCGAGGCCATGAACCCGTAGGCCACGCTGTCCAGGTCCACGTCGTCGCCCGCCTCCCAGCTCTTGCGGGTGCACCCGCGGGCCTCGCAGGGCGGTGCAGAAAATTTTAGAAAAACACGCCAGGCCGCACGCGCGGAGCGAAGACCTCGGGGGTACCCTGACGAACCCGTCCAGCCTCTTGATGCGCCGCCCCGCTGTAAGGGCTCGACTACGGCCTCGACTTACCACAAGATGGATGTTGCCCGTCGAATCTGCAAAACACATGCGTAGAACACTCGCAGATCTGCGAGCATGTCGCGCATCTAACCTAGAGACAGGTCGGGCCTGTCCCCCTACAGGGGGATTTTGGGCGAACAGTTCAGAACACTCCAAACATATTCCAAAAATGCTCAAAAATGGTCCAGATCTCCTCCCCAGGCGATTCTCGGACTAATTTGGGATTTTCCTCCTGTAGAGGAGGAGGCCCGACTTCAACCTGGAGCCGACGAGCAAAAACTCCGGGCACATGAGGAGTTGTTGCTCGTCGGCTCCAGCTCTAAGGAGGAAGGAGGAGGAGGAGGAGGAGGAGGAGGAGGAGGAGGAGGAGGAGGAGGAGGAGGAGGAGGAGGAGGAGGAGGAGGAGGAGGAGGAGGAGGAGCAAAAAACTCTATCGTCGTTCTGTGCGCCTCGCGCTCTCGCGATCCTCTGCGCGCTCCCCGAGGAGCTCGGTCCTACAGTCGGGGCGTTGACCTAAGGAACCCTAAATAAGGAACGAGGCCCCTTCTTTCCACAAGTCAAAGTTCGGTTTCCGATCGAAGACATGAGGAAAACCTGAGGCAAGCTGTGAAACACTTGAAGGAACGCGGGGCCCCTCCCCAACCAAAAGGGTTCCTTCTTCAGGGCCCCGACCCCTCCTCCTGCTCCTCCTCCTCCGCCCCCTCCTCCTCCTCCTCCTCCTCCTCCTCCCCCTCCTCCTCGTCCTTCTCCTCCTCCTCCTGTAGGGCCCATTTCCTCGCCCCCCCGATGCCGCCCGCCCGATGCCATTCCTGCGGTTCCGGGCCCGCGGCGCGCGCGGAGCGCGCCAAAAGGGGCGGCGCCGCGGGTGGGGGGGGGGGCCAGCGCGGATCCGGGAAGTCCGCGCGGAGCTCGAACAATTGATGCTGATGGCGTTCTCTCTTCTCAGGGCCCCAGCGAGGGGCCCCCGAGAGCCGAGAACGGCAGCAGACCTTCGGGGCCCACCACAGGGGGGGGGGTCCCTCGGAGCTCGAACAATTGATGCTGATGGCGTTTTCTCTTCTCAGGGTCCCAGCGAGGGCCCTTCAAAGCCGAGAACGGCAGCAGACCTTCGGGGCCCACCAAAGGGGGGGGGTCCCTGAGCGGGGGGGCGAGTCCGATCCGCTGGCGCATCGAACTTCCGAACAGCGATGCCCCCCGCGCGCCCCGATTGTCGACGCCTCTCGGCTTCCGGCGGCGGCTGGAGACCTCATTCCGCATCGCTTCTCTGCGGTTCGATGCGCCGACGGACCGAACACACCCCCCCCCCTGTGGCCCCCCCCCCCCCCCTGAGATCCGATGTCGTGATTTTTCAATACGGGGTCCCCAGAAGTCTCGACCCCTTCCCCAGGACCGGTTTTTCATCCTGAGTCGTTTTGTTGAGAGTCTCGAGGCCCGGCGAGGGCCCCTATAGGGCCGAACTCTGCGAAACACCTCCGCCTTGATTTGTGTTCCATGCGTTGGATCTCCGGGCCCCCCCTGCGAGGTCTGCGTGCTCCTCCACCCCACTGGCTTCCCAGGAGCCCGCAGGCGTGGCGACCAAATTGCGCCCTTCGCAGCCCCCACCCCGAGACTGGCCGCCGCGACCTCTCCTCGCGGCGCGAGCACGTCGGGGGGCAGGCCCGGCCCGCGAGGGGCGCGCGGCGCCCGGTCCGCGTCGCGCCCCCGCGGGCGGCCACGCAGCACGCGCGGCCCTGCGGCGACGGCCGCGCAGGGCGACCTCTCGTCGTGCCCCTGCCGGCCTTCACGGGCCGATCTTCCAGCTCCACTGCCACAGGCAGGAGAGGAGGGAGGCGGAGGAGGAGGAGGAGGAGGAGGAGGAGGCGGAGGAGGAGGAGGAGGAGGAGGAGCTCCCCATCCTCCCTTCTCCCCCGTCCTGCAGATGGTTAGTGGTGGTGGAAAGTTGGCGCATCAGGCCTGTGGCCCAGGAGGGCATCTGAGATCGAGTGACGAAGGCGTCTCGATCATGGGGGGCGAAGCTCCTCCGAGTGCGGAGGCCGAGCCTCGATGCCAGACCTCCGACGGCGTGACTCTCTTTCCGTCCGTGGTCCTCGGAGCTCTCGACCCCGCCGTAGGGACCAGGTTCGGGCCCTGCGCAAGACGCGCCTTGCGAATCTCCCGAAGGTCTCGAACAAGTCCCTGCCAACCTGCTCACAAGTCTTCCGTGAGTCACTCGGTCTCTTTTCCCAGCACTCTTGTAGGTCGCACGCCCCCCTGGAGTTTCGCGTTCTGAACACAGTATGTGTATATGTGCGTAGATGCGTATGCATGGGGAAGCAGGGTGAGAGAAGCGCAGTCGTAAGAGAGGCAGGCACGCACTTCTTACAACGTGCACTTACCTCGGGTCGTATAACGGTAAGGCTCCGGGGTGTGCACAGACGGCCCCCCCAAATTGCACTGGCGGGTCTCAAGAAGGTCCCTGAATGGCCCGGGGCGGCCTCAACACTCTGGCGCCGCCTCCGGCGGCGCCCCCGGGGCGCTCCGCGCCTCGGGACTGTGCTGAGACCGCCTGAAACTGCTCGGCGGCCTGTTGAGGCCAGCCGGCACTGCCTGTGAGGGCTGTCGGTGCGCAACCCGAAGCCTCGCCGACTCGTACCCGAACTGGCATCGAACCGGCCCGCGTTGACACGGTGCTGGGAACGGATCGGATCGGCTGCTGCGTGCGCAACGGCGCCAGGCGTGCATCCAGGGGCGCGGCTGCCAGGATACAACTCCCGGGAGGTCTTCGCGAAAACGGCCCTATGAAAGGGGCTGCTCGGCCGTTTGAGCCGGATGACGCCGAAGACTGGTCCACATTAAGGCTGGGTCAGGCTGGATGTGAAAAGGAATTGGCGGGATCGAAGCGGTCCTGAGGCCACGGATCTGCCGGATCCAGTGGCGAAGCCAACCTCCCAGGAGCTGCAGCCAAGGGCTCGCCGACGCACTCTCGCCGACGAGCACCACGACGTGCGGGGGGAGGAGGGGGATCGGATCGGCAGTCCACGACATAGGAGACTGGCCATCTCTGCTGAATGAGCGCCTGGCCCATGTGGGCCCGACGAGGGGCCAGGAGAAGCTCAGGGATCATAACCTCGCCATCAAATCCGAGACAGAAGCACGAATTGAACTCTGATAGGACTGGGAGAAGGAAGAGGGTCCAAACCTCGGAAAGACCTGTTTTTTTGCAGTCCTGGATCTTACCCCGGTTGCTGCCCTCCAAACCCAATTCCGGGCCAACGTGAACAAACTCGAGCCAGGTCGAACAACAATCCCCGGGGAAAGGGACGCGAGACCTCTGCGGCTGAGGACGACGGTGATCAGAGAACCGGACCAGACAAGAACGGGAAGCGCCTGCACATGTGAAATGCGGGAACTTGTTTACGCGCGCATGAAAGGAAAATGCACATCAAATGCATTTGCGGCATTCTCGTTTGGCATTTTGGTGCGGAGGTGATGCGAGAACCCGGGGAAGCGGCAGGCGAGACAGCTAAAAGGCTTCCAAGGAGGATCGCAAAACAAACTCGAAAAAGCTTCCGAAAGGCTCCTGGCTGGCTGAGACATGCTTCCGTGATCACTCGGCGATGTGCCAACGGACCTGAAGTGTGGGCCAGCGGGGTGAGCAACGCGATCGAACGAGCACCAGACGCCAAGCAAGTGGAAAAGTCGTGAATGCGGCGGCAGCCGCATCGTGGAGAATCCCACCAGCCTCTTACTCCAAATCCCGCGCTTTCTTTGGATTGGAGCTTAGGGGGTCCAGTTTGTTGTGAAGCCGCCCCGTCGAAGAGGGGGGTCCAGAATAGTAGGTCGCATTTGAAAGAGGGGGTCCGGTTTTTTCTAGGGGGGGTCGAGTAATAAGGGATTTGGAGCACCGCGCTGCGAGGTCTGGCGGGCCCGATCCTCCAACCCCGTCCTTCCCTGTGTTGGGGACGGGGCGCCGCCTCCCGCCACTCGTTGGGCGGGGGGCTCGAGGGTCGTGGGAGCGCGCCCGGAGGGCGATCATGTAAGATGTCTGGGCGCGCGCGTCACCTCGGGGGGGGCCGGGTGGGCAAGGCACATATGATATAAACATGCGATTTGTTCAAACGCAACTCACGGAAGCTTTTGGTCGTCCCCATGGTGCCAATTAGCGCGCCGAATCGTGTGCAAAGCGGACATAATGCATCTCCATTACATGGCGCTATTCACTATTGGGCGCTACTTTGTCGCTGTTGGCCGACACTCGAGCGCTATTCGGCGCTACTGGGCGCTATTATTGGGCGCCACTGGGTGCTAACGCTATTTGCCTACATACGCGCAATCCAAGACGAGCCAAAGCTTCCGTGATGTGCTCTCCGAACCTTTGGACGGCGCTGGCCGGGGCCTGGAATGCCGACGGCGCGGCCAGCGGCGCGAGGCGCCCAACGGCGGAGCCGGCCTGAGAGAGGACGACCGACTGGCTTGGGGGGGGGGGAGGAGGAGGAGGAGGAGGAGGAGGAGGAGGAGGAGGAGGAGGAGGAGGAGGAGGAGGAGGAGGAGGAGGAGGAGGAGGGAGAGGAGGAGGAGGAGGAGGAGGAGGAGGAGGAGGAGGAGGAAGAGGAGGAGGAGGAGGAGGAGGAGGAGGAGGAGGAGGAGGAGGAGGAGGGGGGGGGGAGGAGGAGTAGGAGGAGGAAGAGGAGGAGGAGTATGAGGAGTATGAGGAGTATGAGGAGGAGGAGGAGGAGGAGGAGGAGGAGGAGGAGGAGGAGAACTCTTGCTCACCGTGTCGCGACGGCGGCCCTGGCGACACGCTGTGACCTGCGAG